AAAAAAAGGCCTAAGCCACCCAATACATTAACCTCTAATCCTTTACCTCCATCTCATTGCTTTAAATATATATCCATTTCATCAATCTTACCATCCCAATATTTAAGCCTCCATCCTCCCTTTCCCCCCAACTTCTTAGAAAGCTCTGCCCTGATGAATTCTTGGAAACTGAAGCTGTGGTTTTAAAATTTTTAATTCTCTGCTCTTCTTAATTCCACAAACACCTTTCTGGCAAGTTCTTCACCACCTAAAAAGAACAAACCAATTTCTTATCAACAACAATCCCCCATCCAAACCATGTGCTTCCCCTAACACCTCCTTCAATGTACATATAGGAGGGCAAGCAGTCCTCAAGAATGTAAATACATGCATACATACATACATACACACACACACACACACACACATATATATATATATAACATTTACATTACCTCCTGTACATATAAGATCAAAACAAGATTGCTGACCAATGATCTGAAAAATGGCTAACCAGAACTCCCTGAACCAATCCCCCCTACCAATAACCACTTCCAGGGGCTCTAGCTTCGCCTAAAAAAAAACTGCTATTCCACTCTTTCCAAATCACCCAACAAATGGAAAAAGGTAAGCACTTCCAAAGGACCTTTAACCAAAAATACAGCAACCCTCCAAGCAGAAAGAAGCTCAGCCCAAGACAAAGGGGAAGACCCAATGAACCCAGAAAAAGTTAAGAAAATGGTACCAAACCAGAGAAATGAAAGGGCAATGAGGAACATCTTCCACAATCAATTCTTGAGATTTGATATAATGATATCAGAACCTACATTGTAAGATAAGAATGCCAAGCTTTGATTTTTTTGAGAAAAGTTTAACCAAATTTCATTAAAGCAAGAAAAGTAGAACAGATTTTTTGAGGAAAGTTTAATCAACAACCTTTTGAGTTTTTCATAATATCGCACTATCATTTTTATAGTAAAAAAAAAGTTTCATTAAATTAAAGAAAAAGACTACAATCAGTATGACAACGGATTTTCATCAAAATATAAGATCCACATCCTCCCAGTCAATCCCTCTCACTTAAGCCCAATGTAAACCAAGATCAAGATCCAATGTCTAAATTTAGGGTGTGCAATTTTCCACTCAAGCATATTCGAGCAATAAAATTGCTTCTATGCCAAATCAGTTCTGAGAGCCTCGGTTTTGGAGGGTGGTACAAACCAAATATGGAGATAGAAACTTCGGACTTGGTTCTGAGAGCCTCAAATCAGTCATATGGAAGCTCAGTTTGGAGAGGAATTGAAAAAGGTGGAGTCATCCTCAAAAGGAATCGTTTAAATTGGGGATGGTACTCAGGTGAAGTTTAGAAATAATATTAGGTGCTGAGAGTGACCTCTTCTTGAAGCATTCCCTATCTTGTTTGAGCTGGCTGCTGACAGAGATTCCACAGTTATAATGGAAGTGTAATGTAGTTCCCGCAGTTCAGAAGACACCTGAATGATTGGGAGCTGGATGCTATGGTGGAATTGCTACATTTATTATACAGCACACAGGTGGAGTTTGGGAGCTCAGATAGAAGACTGGGCAGTGGGAGAATTCAAGAGTATGCTCTGCGAATTCTCTTTGCAATGTACTTGGTTCAGAAGAGCATTTAGCCCCTGTCAAACAATTTGATCCAAGAGAGTAACCGCAAAAGTAACCTTCTTGATTTGGACTGCCTACTTGAACAGAATTCTGAATATAGACAACCTGGTACAGAAGGGAATAGTGTTGGATTCAACTGACTGTGAAACATGTGCAGGGCGCTAGAAACCACTGAACCACCTAATGCTACATTGCAATTTCTCTTACAATCTATGGTCTAAAATATGGAACCTGTTTGAAGTAAAGAGCTGTTGTCCACGGTCAGTGGTGGAGTTGGTAAAGGGTTGGATGGTTGAAAAGATGAGAAAATAGGAAAATTGAGTTGGAATATGATCCCTGCTGTGGTTTTTTGATGTTTTTGCCAGGAGAGAAGAGAAATGCAAGAATGCTCAAGAACAAATGTACAGCTCGGTCAATACAATTTTTCAGAAGCTGTTAGGGGAGATGTTTTCATGGCTGAATACAGATAAGTTGTTTAAAAATATAGATTATAATTCCTTTTTTGTATATGGAAATCTTTGGTTATGTTTCATTGGATTAAGAGAGATGCTAATTGCTTGTCTGATGCTTTGGCCAAGCAAGGGGTGGGAAGAAACGTTTGTTCTGGGATATGCTGTAACTTCTTTTTGTGGGGGGGAGCTAAGAGAGTTTATCTCCCCTCTCCTCTTTGTATTCGCATAATTTTTTTAATGAAATCCATTCAGTTATGGATTATATAACTTAAATTTTAAAAATACTAATATTAATTCAAAAAAATGTCAGAAAATGCCAAAAAAATTCAAAAAAATGCAAAAAATATTAAACATAATATTAATAAAAATATAAACTTAAATTTTAAAAATAATGTTTTAAAAAAACCTATTATCTAAAATTAAAATACATAAACATAAAATGAAAAACTTATTTAAATGAAAATTTAAAAATAAAATCAAAGATATAAAACATTTTCAAGCATGTAAAACCCACAACCTCTTTTTTTCCTCAATTGCATTACTTCAAGTAGCTAATGTGATGTAAAACATATTACATTCCTAATTCTATGAGCCGCCTTTGTGCCATGCCCCTCGACTCAAGTTCATGTTAGCATCTTAAATTCATAATTTTCACACAAAAAATAATGATTTTATAATTTTAATTGCCTTTTAAGAAGATGTTTTATTAAGATGAATGAATGAATAACATTAGCAAATAGGGGGTGGTTGGGGGTCCGGGGGCAGAGCCCTCGACCGAGCCACTAGGTTCAAAAAAAAAAAAGCAAAAAAGAGTAAAATTTTCAAAAGGCGCATGCTTGGGCTAAGGCGCAAGGCACATCAAGCGCTCGCCTAGGCACATTAGGCATGCGCCTTTTGAAAGTGTTGCGCCTAGGACCTGGGCGAGGCGCCTACCCTAAAATGCACCTCACCTATGCACCTAGGCATGCCTTTTAAATCACTGATATATAATATATATATATATACATATACATATACATATATATACTGTTAGTGTCGAGTATGTAGGGGTATTTCTGTCTTTGTGCTTCTGTTTAGGTTGCTGATGTGTAAGATTATGCTAGATCTAATGTCCCTAACTTAAGTAGGGGCACATATGTCTTTTCCACAGTATTAGTAATATAAAACAAATCTGGCCAAATGGGAGAGTGAGCTTTTTCTCTCATTCGAACCAGACCTTTCTCTCCCTTTCTTCTCTTCTCTTCTTCTCCTTTCTCTCTCTCTTCCTCTCTTCCTTTTTCTTTGACTGTTATCAGCCTAACAGGATTCAAGGGCAGGCCAAATATATATATATATATATAATACAATACATTCTATCAAAAAATATATAGGAGTGGGTTTTGTGATTTTGGTCCCAGCTCATTCTATTTTAGGGTTAGCAATCAGAGATCAATTGTATTTTATTGCTTCTTTAGTGGAAATTTTGTTATCCGAGATCCTATCCACAATAACTAGGGCTTGAGGTATTCAAAATGTCTTTGTTTTTGCTCTTTTAAAACATAATAGACAATTACTAGGCATACCAAGAGCTCACACCTATTATAAGGGGCATCACTTGGGTTAAAGTGAGACATGTGCCTTACCTATGTGCATTTAAAACACTGCATCTGCCACCCAAGCTTTTCATTTCCAAGGAGTCACATTGCTAATTAAACACTACTGTTATAACCTCACTCCACACTATAGGGTTTCCTATACCAAAGACTCTTGGTTGCCATTATCACACCTTGATTTCAAGGATGATTCATTGCTTCTAATAGTTACCTCCTTTATCTTTTTTTTTTTTTTTTGATCAGTGAATTGTCAGATTTATTAAATCAAAGCCCAAGATAGTACAATTTAGGGAGAGGCACGAGATGCTACCTCCCCTTTAAGGAGGGGAGATGGAAGAAACCATCAACCCTTTAGTTAAAGAACATTACAAAGGAAAAAGAAAATTACAGAGAAGCCCAATACAATGAAACCCGAGTAGCCCCTTGTTTAGCAAGATAATCAGCCAAGGCATTAGCTGATCTGATCTACCCAACCACTGAACTCTAACTGTCATGCCCATCAATAGCCATTTGACCTTTTTTAAGATGTCCTTAAGGTTCCAAGTGACAGTACCCAGGTCAGCCAACCATCCTACTACCACCTTGGAGTCTCCTTCAATTATTAAGTTTTGCACTCCAAGTTGATAAGCAATCTGTACCCCCTGTTCCGCAGCTAAGAGTTCAGCCCTCAGAAGGTCTCCTATTCCCACTAGTCCCGAAAAAAAGGCAATGATGTTGCTGTTCTCATCTCCCAGTACACCATCAATCCCAAACGGTCCTAGGTTACCCTAACTACTTCCGTCAAAATTCAGCTTAACAAAACCAGACCAATTTCTCATTAAATCCTCAAAGGAATATTCTTCAAAGAGCTTTAAGGATTTCAGCCACAAAATAGTCCTTGTAACAATACACTCTTTGACCTCAAGAATGCTTCTTTCCTTCTCCTGAAAAATTCTGGAATTTCTCTCTTCCCAAATAGTCCAAAGGAGAGCTGCTCTTATACACTTCAACATGATTCTCCCTCTTCTTGTGGTCCACACAAAGGTAGAAGGGGAAAACAGCAAATTTACCTCAACTGG